TTTTATTATTATTAGAAATGACTTAATAAAAAAGAAATTACAGACAGCTCCAAAAAAACTGTTCTTATTAGGAACATTGGCTGTACTTAATAAAAAATTAATTTACTTACCGATATAAATGATAACATTTGTATTGAAATGATCAGATTTCGATAATGAATATTTTGATCAATTTACACATTTAAGTAAATGTTCTTTACCAGCTATTGATATTAATTTTTGTTTACATGTTGAACAAAGTGTGTCAAGTTTAACATCCATAATGTCTTCGAAATTGGTTCTTATTTCTTCAATATCGATCAAGTTAATAGACATAGTTTCTGTTATATTGTCTAAATTTAGTACAACGACCTATGAATGTATTGTATATGATTTACTTTTTTCTTAATTTCTTTTAACCTACTATGTTGGTTTTAGAAATAGTACTATTTGAATTGGTGGTTAAAATATTATTGTCATGAATTGTTTTTGTTTTTACTTGAGTAAATATATATGTTTCATTAAGCTTGATATTATCGATCAAGTCATCGTAAACTACTATTGGTGATGTACCACTTGAATCAGTTTTTATATTAATTTTATATTTACGTTCTTTTTCATTTTGTACAAAATCAATTTGTTCATGTTCATCAATTACTAATGCTTCCAATCTTGATACCGTAGTTGATTGAAGTGCTTCTCGTATAGATGTCGAATCATTGATATTATCAGGTTTTTTTACATCACTTGCTGTCCAATTAATAGAATTTTCAAATTTATTATTAATTGATACCTTTATTGTTTTATTATTATTATTACCTTAATATATGTATTATTAAGTTTGGTAAGCAAAAAAAGACTTTTTTAAATTTCTTTATAAGAAAAGAAAGAGATAACTGCTGTAAATAACATTTTATTAAATATTTATTTCAAACAGAAATAAAAAGAGAAGAGATTCAAGCTTTGGGTGTGGGTGTGGGATAGGGGGGGAGGGTATAGAAATAACATCGACACACACCCACACTGACGCCCACACTCACTCTCACATTTTTCTTCCAAATAAAACTGCTTCTTCTTGCCAATTTAACAAACAACGAAAAAAGAACATGATACATCTACTAGTAATAAAGAACCTAAAAATTAAAAATTTTGACATTCTAGGTTTTCGAGACCTTAACTGGAGCAGCTAAGATATTGATATTCGATGTAATCATTGAGGTTCCTAACACATAGAATGCTTTGAACTCGTTCTCAGAGGGAGAGAGACACTACAATATGTTCCCTCGGCAGACACAAGTGGGGAGTGACTTGATTGAGGCTAGAACACCAGTTATTGAATTATAGCATTCTTTGCAGGCTTCTATAAAAATTTTTGATCGAGATGACTATGGAAGAGTAGACATCTAGCTTTACACTCCTGACCACTCGCGGCTCGATTGAGTGAAAATCACTTGTCCTTGTCCAAGTGTACAGTTTAGCTTGTTCTTCATATTTAAACTAAATAGTGGATGATCTTTCATACTTGCAAAAGCAGGTACATGACCAAAACCACTATGACGTGTACATACATGTTGGTCACACCGTGAATATAAAAACATGTCTAGAAGACCGTCACGAAATCCAACATAAACATTCTTCGAATATCTAATATGTTCTACTTGTTTATTACTTGTTAGTATCTGAATGTGGGTCCAATTGGCACTGTCAGAATATCACCGATTAAGTGCAATTTTTCTAATGCGAAGTGAATCAGTCATTAGAAAAACTGTCGTATGTGGATTGGAAGTATTTAAGTCTTCAACACATGTGAAGAAACTTCCAAATCGCTCGATTAATGATGAATCATTTTCTTCAGCAGAGCTATTTTCTTTCATAAATGAATCACCAAAACGTATTTGAAGTCCAATTGTTGGAAATTCTGGGGATAGAAGAGTTTCTAACATTTTCCGGAACAATACAGCATCAGTTTGATTTTCTAGTGAACTAGCTTCAACGAATGTTGAGAGTCGTGGAATAAGAAGCGTATGATAAAGACAGCCAAAGATACTATCTGGTCGCATTTTTAATATGTTTTGCATGAAATAAGCATATACGCTCGTTGAAGATGTCAACATTTGCATCACATTTCCGGCATGACTTTTAAGAAACGGAATTCTTTCTTGAAATAACTTTTCATAATCAAAGTCTGTTCTGCAAAGTTGTGCTCGCGTCATTTGTCGTACACTACGCAAATAGAGCGAGTTTTTTTGAGAAAAAA